CACGACGGGGGGTATGAGAAAAGAGCATGAGAGCGGCGCAAAATTTATGGTTGATTTATGTATGTCGCGAACGGGCCGCATTTTAATTGCTATATAAATATCTTGGCGTGAATATCCACGATTGCAGTCACGGTTCAATTTCATTACGGAATTTAATGCCCGCGGCGTGTCGATAAAATATGTCTAAGGTACCCACCCAACGATTCGTTTTGCGCTTATTTTTAGTCTACTTCTAAATAGTATCGCAAAACAGGTTTCAGAACACGCAAAATTGCTACAATAAGGATAATATATGTGACATAATAAGTAATATAAATGTGTTTTAGAGTTAAGATTAAATACTATACTTTATATTAACCTGCGATGCAATTTTTAACTTTTGTTAGAAGAATGAATATTTTTTTTAGGTGAAAGACTTTATTTGGTGAACAAATTGCCATTAAGTTTAAGTGTCTATTTACTAATACGTAAATATAAACTATATTTCTCGACGGATAAGAATTTTTTGACATAATTTTTTTAGTTACATAATTCTATTTGATTAAATTTTATCGGCATTCGAGAATAGATGTATTTTATTAATATGCTTCTATCGACGATTCGTCAAGTTCGAGAATGTTAATGGTGTTTATTGTGTAGGTAATGTAATTGGTATCCGTATCCCTACCGACCGGTTTGCCACTTCGCGTCGGCGTTTTCCTGGTCGTCTCCGTTAAGGCGTAATTACTTCGTCGTCATCTTTCTTCAATCAAAAACAAATGTAGACAATTGTAGGCGGACATGATAATTAAGGAGTAAGGAGATTGTACTTTCAAATATAATTAGAACGCTTTTGAGGCATAATTTCCATTTTTTCTGTCTACAATCCTTTAGTAGAAATTAACGGGAATAAAATATTAAATTGTAGGTGCACTGAGAAAAAAATGTTGTAAATTTGACTAAACTCGTTTAGTTGTAGTGATTTGTTTAATGCAAATATTAATATATTTAAATCAAATATACGTGAGTAATATCAAGAAATTCTGAATCTATTTAAATATAATATTTTTTGAATTAACAAATGTTAGCTTGACAGCCCGTGACCGCTGCATTTAGTTAAATCAAATAATATTTCTTTGAATCTACGATTTTTTTTTCTCAGTGTGCTATATATAGAATTAAAAGTTTACGTAAACATTCGTGTCTATACCTCACATTTTACGTTAAATATTAAAAATTATACGATATTTGTGTGTTTCTGATTATTTACCTTTTTTCTATTACTTTTATTATTTTTATAGAATTTTATCTTGAAGATGAGAATTAAAGATTTAATTTAACTATTTATCATATATTATCTTGTTTTTAATATCTCTCGTAGATAATTTGTTATAACTTCTGTTACACACTGTGTACACACGAAATTTTCCATCCACACCTGATCAGATATCCCGTTAGTCAGCTGTTATCTCTTTTAACGAATTGTGGGAACACAGATTGCGCTTATCTGTTCAGAATATTCTAGAAATCATCGATTCTCGGTTTCACATACGCCGGGTCAGCTTCCCAGACGATTGTCTAGATATAAGACACACGATCGAATCGCGGAGATTTGTGGATTCCATTATGAAACTTTTCGATTTACGTAAATTCTGATCCACGGTAGACCTCGATTGGGTTGCAATGCTCGGAATAGATTAAATCTTTGTTGGAGAAATGGGGCGATCGGATGCGATGAATCAAGTCCCCCAGGCTTTTCATCTCGGAAAAGACGTGTCTTTTTATCTTTAAATCATTTTCCCGTGCTACACGTCAACGGAGATTAAAGTTTCATTCAAGCCCGTAATTTCATTTAGATTTACTTATCTGAGTTTCAGTCGTGATTGGTTTAGTACCGTGTTTTATCGGTACAAGATGGTATAAGGAAGATAATCATGGTATTTAATCTATTTGACTTTCTGTATGCATGCAATTTTTCGCTAGAGCAGTTAAGGAAATCTATGCAAACATCGCGTAGCACAAAAATGTGATAAAATACAATTTAAAGACGCTTCAAATTATGAATACATATGAAATATTACATTAAATATAGCCATGTAATGTTAACGTTTCGTAACTTCTTTCTTCTTTGTAATACAAATTATTATATACACATATTATATTTTGCAAACTTTAAACAAATGCGATATTATGTTTGATTTTTTCGAGGTATACGGTTCGTGTGGGTAATCAATCATATAATTTACGTGCGAATGGTTTATTAAATTATCTTCTTTTTGCATCAGAGAGTCTTCTGCATTGAAGGCTCGTTCGCACCCTCAACGAGTGGCTATGCGTCAACCGACTACGCGAAATGTTTTCCCTTCGTCATCCTCAAACGCTGTATTGTCTCTGCCCGATCGACATTCGGCTTTATCAGTCCGGCATATTGAGTCGGCCGACCGGAAACGCGGTAGCCGAATATGCCTCGAGTTTCCTCTTCTCTCCCTTTATCCTCGTCAATCGCCTCACCATCGCATGCCTCTCTCTAAAACTGACGATTCAGATCTCTCCGAGGGTTCTCGATTACGATTTGAGATGCTGACGATGGGGCGATGGCCACGCGCGTCGTTCACGGTATTTGTCGAATGTCAAATATCTGCTTCGAAGGAACGAACTGGATATTGCGCCATTGTTCGTCATACGTCAGATATTTGCCCTGTTCGGGGTAGTGCGGATGCATTTCTCAAAGAATTAATCGATACGGCATGACATGATACGGTATAATAACTGATACAGCTTCCGAAGATTCAGTGGTATTAATAATATATATTATCGTGAGACTTCGTTAAAATCTTTCTGACAATCGTTGTTAATTACAACTTTTTTTAAAGTTATTGTTTTATCTCTCATGTCCCGCTACACCTATACTTCTTGATAGTGATGTGTGCTGCAAAAAACTGACTCACAATCAGTCTCTGTATCGGAAATCAATTCGTAGATTAGATTATTTATTAACGCACCAGTAGGAATAGTCAGTTCGCGAGTTTCTCATCTGCCTGTGAATCGCGTAATAACGCGCTGCTTAATTCTATTAATGACAAATTGCTTTACGATGGGGTTCAGTTTTCTGAGCTGTCGGTCGGGAAGTGGAGTTCTATGACGAGGGTACAAGATGCCTGAGATATTAACCACGTCTTTAATTAATAAAGACAACCGGTCATGTGACTAATTCGATTTTAGGCTCCGATTTGGAGCCTAATATTAAATTACAGAATCTCGATGTGACATATTACTGTTACGATCGTATTTTTTGTATTAATTTTTCTATTGTTATTACCTAATGCATATCTTTAATTTGACATTAATTTCCATTTAACTTTTATTTTTACATAAAAATAATAAGAGTGTTAATATATTGCAAAATTGCATTATTTTCCAAATGTTATATGACATGTTACACAAATAAATGTTGCTGTCTTGAGACTGCGTAAATATGATTAATGCCAACGTGTATTAGCGTGTCATATGTACTCACGAGTACTTATGTAAATTAGCACACGATTAATCTGCGATTATTGCTCCAGATATAATGAGAAAAACATATTAACAGTTTTATCAACAACGTAATCATAGGAAATAAAGCCTGTGTAGAATCATATTTAAATTATATTAGAAGCTTTTTCGGTACGAATGCATTAATTAATTTGAAATATTTGACCACTCCAAATATATACTGTATCTATATAACGAGTTTTATCATATTGTCATTTAAATCGTATCGCTATAACGATCGACAAGGTATCAACAACAGAAATGTAATATTTGTATCGCTCTGGTGAGACTCGTCAGGCGCTCTTTTTTTGGAAACATATCGTTAAGACCAGTATGCGTCATTCGCAATATATTTTCTCTCGGAATTTATCTTAATGCGATGTAAAAATGCGTTAACCGAGATTATAGAGTTTCAATTATCTACACTTGTTTCATAAGTTGCACTGTTATCTTTATTTTATGTAGGATACAGTAGAAATACAATAAATATATTATATATTACGACATTTCTATATGTCTATTCATCATCATAAACAAAATTAGATATTGAAATTATTGATTAGATATACTAAAATTATATTCATATTCGTTGCAAGAGAATACTATTTACTGCTAATTTGTTGCAGAGTTAAAAAAGAAATTGCCAGTTTATCTTTAGTATTTAGTTTTCTATATATTTGTCTTTAACATTACATGCATTATTTTACGTTTCTTAATTTAAAACAAGTAATAATTTGGTAAATATGATATTAACAAGGTTCGTAAAAAGCCAAGTTTTCTAAATGTTCTTGAATATATTTTATTAAAAATATGAAACGCAATGTTGGTTTTACAAAATTAAACAATTCAAATAAATGTAACTCATAATACAATTGTTTAGATTAGTGTAGTACAACTACAAGTCTGCAAGCTTACTAATCTACGAAAAGACTTTTAATGCTGATTGGATTTACGTATCATTTTAGATAATACAAAATGTTCCCGTTTGAAAATCATGCTTTCTGAATGATTAACAATATTGTAGAAGTATACATCTGTTTTGCGCATCTCTTACATATCCTTCCGCGCAGTCGCATCCAGGTATACATGCCTATAAAACAAAATAAAGCAATTAAGAATTAAAGTTACAAAAGTTTTATTTAATCAAAATTAGTTTCAAGTATATTTTTAGATTCTATTTGCTAAGAAATATGCACATAATTTCCAACTAAATTAATTATTTTAAAAAACTAGTCGATACCAGGTGTATTTCTTTTTGACGTAAATGAAGAAAACATTTTGTTAAAATATTTAATCAGCTTGTTTAAAACATTTTTTAATATATCTCTTTCGTTAGAGGATTCAATACTGACCAGTGTACAGATACTAGGCGTTGGATTTTGACAGGTGCTTGGGCACGATGTACCACAGCTATTAAATACTTCGTTCTCACCGCAATTAGGCGCAGCACCTACACAAATGTAATTAAAAATTAATTATTTACATAGTAAAGTTTTTATAAAAATATTGTTATTATATAAAATATTCTTTAGTTTCGCTTTTCCTACTCATTACTTCATAAAGATATTGTCTGAAGCGAGTTCTATAAAACGGCTGTCAGCAAGTTACATTCTCGCTGTCAAGCAGAAAGCTTATTATTCTACATTTATACAACGTACGTAATTTTCTATTATTGGATTAATATGAAAAATGTATTCTTTTCCTATTAAATTCTGTATTATAAATAAACTTATTTCTGTAATTGCAAATACGAAATTTACTGAAAGAGAGATTAAAAAAAGACTTCTTTTTAAAAAAAGGAATGTAGCGAAGCTATAACAATGGCTATAATTTTATTTTGACTTTATTATGACTTCGCCCGTAATTTTATTTAACAAATACGATTATTATTACACGATCTTGCGTTTTAATCTAACACTTGCGTTTTAATCTAACACTTGCACACTCTTACGTAACGTCAAAGTAAAACTCCATTATTTACAGATAAAATTTCAATATTTAACAATTTTGTTTATTATTGTGTTGGACTTACTGATTGTAGCGACTGCCACGATGAGGAGGAGGAAAGCTACGATGCGAGCCATGCTTGTGTCTTCGAATTCGCGTTGCTTGCACTCGAACAACTCGAGATAGACTGATGATAGCTGTCCATTTCATTGAGTTTATATAGCCATGGTGGATGGCCTTCGACCGCGACAAGTTGTTTCTCGAGATATATTTTTTCGGCATACTTCCTTCTTTCTCTCGACTCATCTCATAGTTCTGTACGTGACTATTGGCTCGGAGGCTTGGACCGTTATCGAAACGTGCGATGTGAATTTTAAACATGATTATCTATCTATAGGCTTGTAATCTAATCCCAATTTAGAAGCAGATGTTTTGTATTTTTATAGAATCAAATGTTTAATCATTTAAAGTAATATCAATGCTGAATCTAGGTTCGATAGCTTTTTTATGTGACAATAACAAACATGACAAGAGGATAGAAGTCTTATTTTTATCTCCAAAATAATATTTTATCAAGCTTACAAACATCTATCATTAAGTCAATTATTATTTATAATTGACTTTTATTATTTATTAATAATTGTCGATTACAATTTCTATGTATGATTAGAAGGTTCGAAGGAATTACACGTTTAAACATAATAAAATTTAATACCAGTATTATTTTAACCGAAAATGATATAATGTATGTAAAACAATTCAGTCACCCATCTTGCTTTTGAAAAAAGATTTCGGTAAGACTCGAAGATGCATTCTTGCTAACGGGACTATCTCTCGAAGTGACCTCTACTACTTGAATTTGGCATTTGCTCTCATTATATATCTCGTTTCCATAAGAAATACATAATGATATTTACATAGATTTACATATCTCTTCACATTGACTGTTTAATTCTAGATAAGTGGCATATTATATTTAGTATGTTACATGATAAAAATAAATGAAACGTACCGAAAAGTTTCTACATCACGTAACACAATGCGTTCAATATATATATTTTTTAATTTCAACAGCTCGCAAATATTTATTTTAATTTTAATAAATTAATATTTATTTTTAATATTAACTTTTATTTTAATATTAACTTTTATTTTAATATTTACTTTAAATATTATCTAAATTCGATAACGCATAGAAAAATGATGATTGACTAACAAATATTACTCACCGCTTTCATAAGCCAGTTTCAATCGATAACTGATTATCCAATGTAATTTAATTGAAATACGTTAACAGCATATATATATTGCATCAATATTGCAGCTCTACTTGTATTACAAGTAAATTAGTAAATAAGTCAATAATTGATTTTTATAAACAATAGTGCCCGCGATCTAAGAATAAGGACGTACTCGCATTTCTTTGCTAAAAGATTTTTAATGTATTTTTTTACAATTTAATATAAGTTACATATTTCTATAATAATAGATATAATAATAACTTTATAAGACATGATTTGGTTGCTTTTTTTATTTCACATTTTACAACATACAATAAAATTACAATAACAGAACTCTCATGTTTTTGACCTTTATAATTCGAATATTGAATAAAAAATACATAATGTATATATGCACTCATTGAGTCATGAGGATGAAAAGTAAATGTCATTTTCACATCTGACCGTGTAACAATTATTTCTTTTCATAATATTGATTTTAAAATATCTACTGTTGATTTTTTTTTCTCACGAGTTAAATAATTATAATTTTTTCCACACATATGCATATGCGAATTCCCATTCGTATACGTTTCTTTTTCGTTAAAACTAAAGTTTAATTGCATAAGGGATAATATCAAAATTATGCCTTTTTCTTAATTTTATGTGTTTGCAATATAATCGGCCCTCGCGCTTTATAGTAGAGAGAAAATTATTCTAAAGAATAATATATTTTATGCTAAATATGTAGGTAACTCTTAATGCTACTACTGCAGTATCCATATGTGACGTCTGTCTTAACGTATACTTTCAATATTAGCTAATATCTTATTCATTCAGTGAAATCTTGTTATTTAAACAGCATTGACGTACGAATCTTTGTTCATTCTCGGAAATACGATAAAAACAAAGCTTCCTCTATGAGGAAGCAAAAAAATGAATACTGTCTTCCATGTGTGTGTATATGTGTGAAAGAGAGAGAGAGAGAATTTTTCAAGACAAAATACATTTGTTATACTGTTATACTATGATATCTTGTGTTATCAGTTCTGTTTCTCTAAAAAAGTTCCATATATATAAGTGTTGTTAACATATTTTTTAAACTTTGTATACACAAGAAGATAATGCAATCTATTGTATATTTTATGATAAGGAAGAAAACTGCGAGGCATGTCGATGTAATTTCGATGCTATGTGATTGTGAAATGGGAATTTACATATGAATCGATACGTTTTTAATTTTTAAATATTTTCTTTTTATAGGCGTTTATTATTCTTTTATTTTGTACACTGAAATATTTAATTGTAAAAAAAAAACAGTTATTTTTATTATCATTTATATTCCGCGAAAGAGAACTCAGTCGTTAAGATAAACGTACGTTTTATACGACACGACAAAAAGATCTAAAAAAGTTTCCGTTACAATATATTTTTTCCCAACTGTCACATTTTTTATACTTGTTACACTTGTTATAGTTGTTACACGCGATACTTATTGTTAGTATAGATCCGTTTTTTTTTTTCGGTTATTTCGATACTTAGCCATTCGCGTATTATAGTGGAAAATTGTCGTAAAATAATTAATATCGAAAAATATGTCTTGTGTCTTTATGCACGGAAAAATTAGTGGATGTTATGCAATCAATGCACAGTTATGGGATCAAGCATTATCTTTTTTTTATTCTTGCAAAGTGTGCTTGGAAAAATTGATACACATACTCTGGCATGTTAAAATCTTGATGAAAACATATTATTACTTCTGATACAATGCCGAAATAGGATTTTATTTGTAATATTTTTCCAGAAAGAAATTATGTTATAATTAATTTTAAAACGATGCGTTGTAGGATTTAACAAAATGTAGTTTTTTATTCCAAACGCTATTCTCTTGATAGTTTCAGAGGATATAAAGATTATAGAGGAATATTTTTTTAGAAATATTAAATACATCCCACATAGTAAAGTATTTTTTAACAAATATATTATATTAAATATACATATATAATTATGTTTGATATGTAATATAAAGAAAAAAATCGATGTTTTATTAATCTGTTGTATATGTTGTATCGTTTATCGTAATATCGTTCGAACTTTCCTCAACTGTCATATTTCAGTATGAATCATAAAATTCAGACCTCTTAAAAAGATTCCACTATCGTCTGTTTGTGCATTTATCTCGAAGTACAGTTTAAAAAAACAAAGGAAGGAGTAAAAATTAAGAACAGATATGTCATTATCAAATTAATACAGGTATATTTAAAAATGTACTTTGATTGTATTAGCGAGCTTACAAAATACAGAATTACGGATTTCTTACGGATTCGGTCAAATATTTCATTATATTTATCCGCTGTTTTAAAAATGCTTATACATATAATTTATTCTTAATATTCCTAAACTCACTAGTGCAAAAGATCATCGCAATTTTAGACAAATACATCAAGATTAAGGATTTAGTTTAATTCTCGCAAATAGTTTTATTGCGTGATTTTTATACTAGACGTATAAAAATATTTTTATTCAAGACAGGTTTACAGATTTTATAGTAATCCGTAAATAAAACAGGTAATTTACCGCGGTAGTAATTTCTTGCCATAAAGATAATAATTTATAGTACATGTACGCAGACAACTTAATTATTTCCTATTTATATTCAGAAGGATTGTTACCATCACCTCAAACAGTTGAGTCATGCATAAAATCGATAAACTGAATAAACTTCATACTTCATTAATAAGTCAGTATAAAATCTAAATTTATTAAATGTTAAATGAAACGACAGAAAGTTCTTCTAACTTGCAAACTCGAGACACTGAAATATTTGGAAAGCATTGAATTGGAAAAATATTTAGTCAGAGAGATACATTATCATTAATTATATAAAAAACAATAAAAAGTTTAAATTTTATAATACCATATTTATTAAATATTTAAAAAGTTGCAGATTAATAATTCGATAAAATAAACATTGAAAAATGTTTAATGATAGTAATTCACATAATACGAAGACGGAAATAAAGATAATTGCATTTATTTTTATATACTTTTATTTTCTCTTTCTTTCTCTATTTTATTTTCAACTCATAATAATATTCATTAATTACATAAAAATATGAATTATATAAGCTCGAGAATGTTAAGGAACCCGTAGAAAAAGCTTAGCAGATTTAATTTTGCGTTTTTTATTTTTAATTTGTAAAGAATATAGATATCTAGTATAATATCTAGTATAATGGAGAGGCGAATATATTCTCGTTTGTTTTTAATTAATCAGTAAATATATAAACAAACAATAATATGATGTCAAATTGCATTTAATACATGTTAAAACTCGCCGATTTTTAATTGAATTTTTTGTAAAAATATCATCGGCGTTAAACAAAATTTTTCAGCTCCTTAGTAAGTACATGTTTGTTAATTTTTAGCATTGTGTAGAAGGCACACATTCTCCTGAAGATTTTAACAGCAACCCATCTTTGCATTGGCATCCTTGCACGCATTGCTGAAAAAAGAATAATATTACAATAGTATCAGTATATAAAAGAATAGCAAAATATCGATATAATCTATTGTAGTATACATAATTCAAAAAATATTTCACAGTTAATCGCATAGTATTGGGTTGGCAAATAAGTTCGTTCGGTTTTTTGACTGGTTTTGAATGGAAAAAACCGAACGAACTTATTTGCCAACCCAATATGTTTACTTCAAAAGAAATATAATTTTCGACGGAATTCGCGTATTCAGCAAAATCAAATAAATACCATAGTACAAAGTTGTGGATCAGGGTTGTTGCAAGATGGTGGACATGCCGATCCACACTCCTTATACTCTTGATTTACCGGACACTGTGTCTCTGTCTGTGCGATAGTCGTGCCTGTACACAAGAGTGCAATGTTACACAAGTTATAATCAAGTCCAATTACAATATTAAATTGAAAATGGGAACTAAGATATACGATTATTGTTTATGAAGTTTCGAATTTAGTCGCAGAGTGAGGAAACGCAATAAATTTTTGCGTAGCGGGTAACTTACTGCAAAGCACTCCGATCATTAGGAATAATACGAAACTAGCGCGAGACATGGTTAATATCCTTGCACTTTATCTCGTGGACTGATGCTTCTGATGCGAGCTATGCGCTTTTATATACCGGCCAGTTTATTAGCTGACCTTCACGCTGAGACAAAACAGTTTAAAGTCACGTATTGAAAATTATTATCTATTTTCTAACTTATTGCGTCAGCGTCTTCATCCGCTGACGCATACATACGCATAAAAACATGTGTTTGTTATCGTTAGCGACAACGTTACTCAGAGAATTCGAACATATAGATGTCGTTATAATCGTGAGAAAATATTGTTAGTGGAATTTTAACAACGTACAATTACGTTGTTGCGTTTATTTTTATGCGCTATGTTATTATTTTTATCCTATGTTTTTATATATTTTCTAAGTGCATCCAAAAGTGTGATCTAAGATTTGCTACTGCACAGGAATTTCTGAAATAATTATTAGAAAAAGAAGTATATGAAAAGAAATCTTTGTGTGCTTTAATTAACATGTGTTATTCACAGCGACTCGTTAGATCAGTTAGAATGTTAGATGCCTTATTTGTAATTCTTTATTTCTCAGATGGTATTCCCCGTCCATATATATCACTATCACGCAATTGTGTTAGGCTTTATTCGTTATCTGCCGACGATAAAAGATTGGTCGACCAGAAATAGTAGCACACGTCGTCATTTATATACGTTATTATTTTTTAAATAATGAAATATTTTAAATTGCTGATGTTTAGTAATGTTAATGGGTTTGTGTGAAATAACGTGGATTGTATGTAATGGTTCTTTAAACTTGAATGACTATTAACTAATGATACACTTTGACGTAAGGCACAAAGACTGTAAATCACGCTATCACACGCTACTGCTGCCAACTTGCAACGGCTCTCTATCTCAATGGCGCCTAACTAATTCGACTAACTAATAAGAAAAAGGAAACGTGCCAAAAGTAACGCCACCTAACTTCCGCTCAGCGCACGAGCGCCTTCAAGATATGCGCGCATTGCACTAATAAGTAATTAGAGTCGGGACGACGCAGGCAGAATGCAACTCTCGTTCGATCAATCAGGAAATTTCGGGCTTGCAAAACGTTGTGTCCACTTTGTCGGCGTAAGCTCGACAGTCTCTCAATCCGGCCGCTTTCCGAACATGCTTTTACCCTAAATGCTATTTCGCCATCGGCGAGATGGCCCAAGTGAATCAGTCTGACCCTTCTGCTCTCCCTCCTGGCACATACTTTTTTTTTTATTCTACGTAAAGAGCGCTGAGAATCGAGTATCCGGCGATTCGAATCGAATTTATTAGAATGGGGAATTGATTTATTGTCTGTGCGTATATATGTACAACTTCTTTTCGGTTGAAATATTTTTTTCCATGAATTAGAGCAACTAGAATAACTTTAAGATGACGCATTCGCCTAGAAAATCATAAACCCCATCTGCAATGTCTAAAAAAGTATAAAGTCTACTTAATTACATTGCTATCTGCGATGGAAATAACGAATTCTTTATTAAACGCATATTAAACGCGCATGATTCTTGTGAAAGAACTTTCTTCTCTTATTTTTTATATATCTTAAGAAGCGAAAACTGTAGTCGATTACCGACCATCGTATCGCAAGGATTCGAAGACGCGCGAAATGAATGCACGAACGAAAACTGCTTTCGTACAATGGCGAGCCGACGACTTAATTACTTGGAAAACCCGGCGTGTAATTGTCCCACGTACCATTCCCCCATTGTCCTGGGTGTCCTATTCAGCATTTCACGACGCCACCACCCGTTTCTGACAGCGGAAAACTCGATCGGGGATTCTCGAGATTTCCCGCTCGTTCGCTTGCCTTCGCTTTCCGGTCAGCCTTCGTACTTCCTCTCACCCTATGTCCTATCTCGTTCTTGATACGCTGCTTTCACCGTTCAGCCTTTGTGTTGAGCAGCAAGTAGACGGTAACTATCGTGACTCTGTCCCACTGACCCAAGCGTAACTTTACTGACCGCAATTCGACAAGTGACATATGCACAAGTCACAAAGTATCTGGAGTACTCTTATTCAACTTCCTCCGTAATTTATATATATATATATATATTTTTTATTAGGCATGCTTTGAAACGAATCCAGATAGTAATAATACTTACAAAAACATAAGTACGGAAGAATACTTATATATGTATATGAAAAAAAGAAAAAGAAACAAGAAAAGATAGAAGTTTGATATAGCTAGATATAGATGTGGAAATGGAATATAAAGGCAAAGCAATTATGCAATACTGGAGCAAAAGGGCACAATAAGGAATGTGCTAAAAAAATATAAAGTGATTAGAATTGACATGCAAATAGATGAATTTATAGGTGAGGGAAAAAAGATTTAGAAATAATGATAGACTGATAGAATGTGATATAGAATGAAGTAAAATGCTATAGAATAGAATAAAAATATATAGCTTATAATTTATAATTTGATTTGAGGCAGAATTATTAAATAAGTATTAAATTAAAGAGATCATATGTGTGTGAAAAATCAATATTAAAATTTATATATTATTAAAAATATATAATAAAGTTAATGCAATATAAAAATATAATATAAGAATAATTTATTGTATTATAAACTCTAAACTGAAAGCCATTCTAAGCAAGACAAGGATTATAAGAAATAAATAAGTAAATAAAAATAAATTGCTCAATTTGAGATGTTTGAGAAATATCTTTTAAGAAAATATTGTTTTAAATCGATATGACTGAAGCGTTTATTTAGCTTGTTTTAAAAATATTTGATGTAAAAAATATATATCATTTAATTTAAACGTAATATGTATACATTCAATAAGTTTATTCTGTGTTCACACAGGATGCATCATTGCCGTCTGCGTTAATAATATTAATATATCGTGAGTCACAAGATATTGGTTTACAGATTTTTTATGTATTTTATTATTATGTTTTATTTCTTCGTCTTATAAAAACTTGCTTTTTTATCATTTATATATATTTAACCCTAGACATACTCACTGGGGTGTTACGGGACCCCACGCGAAATTCAAATTGAGCCCCTGCCTTAGGAAGGTTAGTTTTCATACCGAGACCCTAACCATAATTCAGTTTAGTCATCCGGCAGTCGACCTCCGTCACTCAGCGAGTGCGTTAGATCCGTGCAGTAGCTGAAAATCGAAAAAGAAAATCGTTTGGGGTGTCCGTACACCCCAGTGAGTTATTTACGCTCGACATTTACCACAGTAAAGTATATTTCAGATTTTTTGTGAAAATCGGTAACGAAAAATTTATACACTTTATAGCACTCCCCGGAAAATTCTACCCCTGTTTCATATATAATTGTTTAAGATTCGGTCAATTATTTCATTTTTGCTGTTCTTGCACAGCAACTGATTAAAACTTTGTAAAGTTTTTGTGGAGTTAATTTTACTGTTTCTATATACTTTTATAACTTTTGACTATACCTTTCAAATAAATAATAATCGACAGAATCTGTTTTACTTTCCATTTCTTGCGATTTTTCCCATCCGACAGTTTTTCATAATTTCCTCTACTTCAGATGTTCAAAGAAATATGTTTTTTTTAAGAAACGAAAAAATCGCTTACATGCCCTTGAAGGTTGTCTATTCGTCTTTCAAAATCCGTTGGAAATTTTAAAATCGGTGAATTTTATGAAAAACTACAGCATTTTTTATAAAAATAGTCATTTCAGCCCAATTTTTGGTTCTTTTTCTTGTTTTTCGACATTTTTTTACTGTTTTTTTTTTACTACCGCAAATTGATGACTACTATCGTTTTCCCTATTAAACAACAAACAATATTATCTATTATAAAGTTTTCTAAGAACATTCTGGAAATATTATACACGCGGTACAAGTTTGGGGTATCGTCACACCCCAGTGAGTCATTCACGTATGAGAAAAATAAGTGAGTATGTCTAGGGTTAACATACATAAAATATTATACAGGGAATCTAATATATAAATGCTTTAAATACATATGTAGTGCAGATAAGAATCTTATTGCAAAATTTTACCTACAAATATAAACATTATTGTATATGTATATGTTAACGTTAAAATGTGACATACACTTAATTTTCTAGTAAACGTAACTAGTAAAGACTCATATACCTACCGTTTTTTCTCTTGCATGTGTCGCGCATACATAAGAATAGAAGCGCAAAAAAACAATAGATTATAACATAGTCCAGTATTACACATTGATGTCTCGAGATCCACGATAGTCTGCGTATAGTTATAAGACAAGAAATTGCACGTTGTTTAATAAACAATATGTTTATTATACTTTTCCCCGATCGTGCGCATTGTAATTTACAAAGATATAAAAATAACTGCGTTTATTTATATATATTTTTTAATTTTTAATTTTTTATTTTTATTTCTATTTTACTTTTCTAATTCATAATAATATTCATTAATTACGAATTTATAAAAATACGAATTATATAAATTCGTAAATGTTTCTGTTAAGAAAGTCTTAGAAGAAGCTAAGCTCAGAAAAAGCTTAGCAGATTTAATTTTGCGATATTTATTTTTTTTATTTTAAATTTATAAAGAATATATATAGATATCTACTATTAACAGAGAGGCGAATATATATTAATAATTTCGTTTATTTTTAATTGATCAGTAAATATATAATAATGTGTCAAATTGCATCTAATACATGTTAATGTTAGCATACCAATAACCATGATTTTTAGTTGAAATTTTTATAAAAATATTGTTGACATAAAAAAATTTTCATCCCTTTAGTAAGTACTTATTTGTTAATTTCTAGCAGTATGAAGGGTGCACACAGTTTCCAAAGGAATTTAGCAGAAATCCTCGTCTGCATTGGCATCCTATCTTGCACATCTGAAAAAGAATAGTACTAGAATAGTATCAAGAAACTAATAATAAAATTTTGATATAATTTATTGTAATATATGTATATAATTTAAAAAAATATTTTAATGTTAATTACACGTTTTCACTTGAAAAGAAGTATAACTTTTGACCAGATATCGCGTATTTAGCAAAATCAAATAACAAATACCGCAATGCAGGCACTCTGCACAGGCTCGTCGCAAGTTGGCGGACATGCCGATCCACAATCATTCCACTCTTGATTTACCGGACACCGTCTATATGTAGGACTCCGATAATATGGTAGTTGTGCGATAGTTGTGCCTGTACACATGTGTTACACAAGTTACGGTCAAGTCTAATTACAATAAAAAATTGGAATTAAGATATGCGATAATTTTTTATGAAATTTTGAATTTAGTCGCAGAGTAAGGAAACGCAATAAATTCTTGAGTGGCGTAAAAACTTACCGCAAAGCACTACGATCATTATGAATAGTACGAAACTAGCGCGAGACATGGTTAATAATCCTTGCACTTTATTTCATGGACTGATGTTCCTGATGCGAGACATGCCCTTTTATGGGATCTGACATTTGTAATCACGCCGTCTGGTGGTAAAAAGCAACACCATTCGAAGCCTACAGAATATCACGAATGTTAATCACAGATACTCTCCATTGTTATAAACATTGCGAATAAAATTGCACATTACTATTAAATACACACACATAGGCTCCGCTCCCATGTCAGATCCCGATATCGATCAATTTATTAGCTGATCTTCACGCTGAGAAAGAGCAATTTACGTTTTGAAAATTATTAGATATGTATCATCTAACTTATTGCATCAGCGTGTTCATGTGCTTACGCATACATACACATAAAAACTTTGTTTATTATCGTTCGCGAGGACATTACTCAGAATTCCATCATATAGATTTCGTTATAATCTTATACATAATTAATAATTAATAATTTACTTATGCTGAGGCAGAATTATTATTAGGAGTATAACTAAGTTTCCGCCGTTTTTTTCAAAAAAATTCCTTTTATTAATACAAAAGAAACGATACAATTGTTTTAGTCAAAATATTTTCCATTTGCATCTACTACTTTTTGCCATCTTTCAGGTAGCGTACGGATGCCGCGGCGAAAGAATGTCTCGTCTTTTAAGAGTAAAAGAATGTTCCTATACGCGATAATGCTGTCGACTCATTTTTTAGTATATGCTTTATTTTTAAAGTGTGTATCGAAAAGGCTGTGCTGCATCGACTAAATCAGACGGCGCGATATCTACGAGAGTACTCTGGGTGGAAAAGGACTTTCCATTCGAGATTATACAGCGTTTGTTTGATCTTAAGCAACATGGGGCCTTGCGTTGTCATGGAGCAAAATGTCTTTGCGTTATTCTGAGGCTTATGCCGGTCGTTTTTCTTTAACCGAAACGTTATGTGCATCAATTAAACCGTTTGAACGAGGCACATCAAGAAAACTGGCTGGTATAAAACGATGCAAAGACATTTTGCTCCATAATAACGCGAGGTCCTGTTGCTCATGACTCATAAGTCATTAGATCAAACAAACGCTGTATAATCTCGAATGGGAAGTCCTTTTCCATCCAGAGTACTCTCCAGATATGGCGCCGTCTAATTACCACTTGTTTTAGTCGTTCCAGCACAACTTCTCCGATACACACTTTCAAAATAAAGCAGATACTAATAGAAAATGAGTCGACAGCATTATCGCGTCGAGACATTCTTTCACTCTTAAAAAACGAAACATTCTTTCGCCGCGGCATTAGTATGCTGTCTGAAAGATGACAAAATATTAGTAGATGCAAACAAAAAATATTTTGATTAAAATTATATTGTTTTTTATACTAGGAGAAAAATCCAGGTTTAAATAATCGTTCGAAAATTAACAAACGGACAATCCGACACTTTCAATCGGAATAATTAACAAGCCGATCAATTATCAGTGATATCCGGCTATCATTGATCGGACATTATTCTAATCTTGATCGGCTTTTCATAATTCCGATTTAAAACATCGGATTTTTGAACGAATTGTCCATTTCTCTGAGTGTATGTATTAAATGTTTCTATTAAGGAAACCTTAAAAAAAACTTAGCAGATTTAATTCTGCAATATTTATTTTTTTTATTTTAAATTTATAAAGAATATATAGATATTTATTATTAAGAATATATGTATAGACATCTACTATTAACAGAGAGGCGAATATATTATTAATCTTGTTTGTTTTTTATTAATCAGTAAACATATATAAACATTAATAATGTGTCAAATTGCATTTATTACATGTTGATATTAGCATGCCGATGATTTTTAGTTGAAATTTTTGTAAAAAATATCGTTGACGTTAAACAAAATTTCTCAACTCCTTAGTAAGTACATATTTGTTAATTTCTAGCATTGTGTAGGGTGCACACAGTTTCCTGAGGAATGTAGCAGAAATCCTTGTCTGCATTGGCATCCTATCACGCATTGCTGAAAAAATAATAATAGTATCAGAATAGTATCAAGAAACGAATAGTAAAATTTTGATATAAACTATCGTAATATATGTATAATTAAAAAAAAAATATTTCACCGTTAATCACACGTTTTCACTTGAAAAGAAATATAACTTTCGACAGAATTCGCGTATTCAGCAAAATCAAGTAATAAATACCAGAGTGCAGGGTTGATTAGGTTGCGAGTTGCAAGATGGTGGACATGCCGATCCACAAGTGGTCCATTCTTGATTTCTCGGACACCGTCTCTGTGCGTTAGTCATGCCTGCAGTACATGTGCAGTGTTACACAAGTTACAATCAAATTCAATTACAATATTAAATTACAATTAAAAATGAGAACTAAGATATGCGATGATAATTGTTATGAAACGAATTTAGTCGCAGAGTAAGGAAACGCGATAAATTCTTGCGTGGCACAAAAACTTACTGCAAAGCACTCCAATCATTAGGAGTAATACGAAACTATCGCGAGACATGGTTAATAATCCTTGCACTTTATTTCATGGACTGATGTTCCTGGTGCGAGACATGCGCTTTTATATACCGATTAGTTTATTAGCTGACCTTCACGCTGAGAAAGAGCAGTTTACGTTTTGAAAATTATTATCTATTATCTAACTTATTGCATCAGCGTGTTCATGTGCTTACGCATACATACACATAAGAACCTCGTTTATTATCGTTCGCGACAACATTACTCAGAATTCCAATATATAGAATTCGTTATAACCGTATATGTAATTAATAATTTATAATTTAATTATGTTGAGGTAGAATTGTTAAATTAGTATTAAATTAAACACATAATATGTGTGAAAAATTAATTTTAAACTTTATATTATATATGTTATATAACATATTATAAATAATGTATTATATCTATGTTATAAAAATATATGTAATAAAATTAAATAATGTAATATAAAATATAATATAAGAATAATTTGTTGCATCATGTATATTGTAAACTGATAGCCATTCTATGCAAAGCAAGTATTATAAGAAATAAATGAATAAATAAAAATAAATTTTCCGATTTATGGAAATATCTTTCCGGATAATATTATTTTGAAACGATAAAATTGAATTATTTATTTAGTTTTTTTCTAAAAACGTTTGATGTAAAAAATATATTTTTCTTTATAAACGGAATGTGTATATTCAATAAATTTTATTCTGTGCCCATACAGGATGCATCTCATTATCGTCTGCGTTAATAATATTAATATATCGTGAGTCACATGATATTAGATTACAGATTTTTTACTGTGTTTTACTATTGTTATGTTTTACAATTTTCTCATGTTATAAAAGCTTGTTTTTTTAACATTTATATATATTTAATATACATATATTTGAAATATATAAATTATATTATATTTCCTTATTTATGCAACGTCAATTTATCGATAATTAATGAAATATTGTACAGGAAATCTAATATATAAAACAGCCAAATACACACATATAGTGCAGATAACATATCTTCTATTGCAAAATTCCACCTGCACATACATTCAAACGTTATTGTATATGTTTGTTACTTATAACGTTAAAATGTGACGTATACCTAATTTTCTAGTAAAGGTAACTGATAAAAACTGATACTGTTTTTTACGTTACACGCTTCGCGCACACGTAAGAATAGAAGCGCGAGAAAACAACGGATTATACTTTGACATAGTTCAGTATAATACACACCGGTTTCCCAAGATTTACGGTAGTCTGCGTATTGTCATAAGATGGGAATCACACGTTGACGGGTAAACAATATCTCTATTATACCTCGGTTTTTCCCGGTCGTGCGCATATACAACACACGAAGGTGACTGGATGAATCGACTTTAAAAAAGAAAAAAATGACATCCTAGATGCGTTGTCCGATTACCGTCGCTTATTCAGCGGTAGACGCGAAATTATCTTTAAATAACTGGCCTTCGTTGTCTCAGACGCGAAGAAAAGAGTGTTTGCAAACAGTGAATTTAGACGTGGAAGGTTACAATTTTAAGCGCACATTTCGCGCACGCTGATATTTGCAAAGATACAAGTCGTATTATGTACTGTTAGAGTTGTAATTATTGATTCAAATTTTATTTCTAGTGATTTGATATTGTTTTGTCTTTTTATATCTAACAATAAGTTTTTAAGTTTTCTGTTTCTTCTCTCTTTTTTTTTTGCTTTTCTAGCCATTTTTTTCAGTAAAAGTTTTTTTATATTGTGTAAAATAAATATACTTATGCGATTCTACGTCAAATCAAATAGCAAATAAACACGTATTTTTTATTTTTTTAAAACTTTTTTGTTTCCAAAATTTTTTTTATTTACTCGAATTCTGAAGTCACATTACCTTTAGAAATAATATAATGTAAGAAAATTATCTATTTAGTAGTCCTTTTTTTAGTTTTATGTCTTATGTTCTACCTCATCTTATTTTAAAGATAATAAATCAAGGAATATTTTATAATTTATAATTCCTTGGGAGAGCTTAAAAATCCGAAAAAATTATTTTTTACATTTAAAATAACATTTTAGATAAAATGCATTGTACAAGCAGATAAAGCCAACCATCACTACGGTAGAAATAATTAGACTTCCTAAGACATGGCATAATACGTTCGGTCAACATCATATAAATGCTAATAAAATGCTAATAGAACTTTCAGAATTGCGAAAACGCTTGTCACTCCGCCAACAAGGGTACGCAAATTAATGACGAAAACATACATTCCTACCACAATGGCCTTAAAAATCCGGATTATGCTGCAAGGATAGTTTATGCATAAAAGATTAATCTCTTTATCTCAAAGATTAAATTATTTTTCATATTTTTTTATTTGCTGCAGCTTATGAGTCTTGCATCGTTCGGGTAGGGTTACATAAATATACATAAATTTATGTATATTTACGTCGTGTTACTATTTATTCAGTTTTATAAAAGTAATCAGGGAAGAAATTAAGAGACAAAAAGTATCACTTTTTTCTTATCTTCCTGTACCGCATAAATTTTTTTGCAAATTATATGAACGACCATTTATCTTCTCAGTACATCTCATTGTATTGATAATGGTTTTATAAAGTAACGATCTTGTGCGCCATGATCGTCTAGGTATAACAGGCAAGTGAATACATTTTCCGCGCATCTTGCTCGGTGCACCGAGCGCAGATTCGAATGAAGCCATTCTTCCGGAATATTGTTCGCTAACAAGATGATAATGCTCGACTCCGAGTACACACGACGGAAGTCGGAAACCCCGCCTTTCGACAGGATCGGCTTCGCGTTTGCTTTAAGCCGCTTTTCGGATTAGCAAAGCTTCTCCCACAGTCATCGTCCGGTTACTGACGGCCCGGTACGCCGAACACCCGAACGGCCGAACGAAGTAACCATGCAGGCTCGACGTTCGAACGTACAATCGCGTAAGTCAAACAGTTTGGCCGGTGTTCCGAAGAAGTGCTCCAATATTTGGCCTCGTAATGTAATCCAGAAGTTGAGAGAGAGGATAACAGAATGTCCCGTACCTTCCCTATATGTACACCTAGGCGAAATCCCGTCGAATATCGTGAGGTAGCTTCAAAATTTTCGGCACCGTTCTTTGTACAAGTTCGTTGTCGTATTCAGCGACGTGGTTCGCGATTAAAATGCGCCGGACAGTGTGCGATTACGAAACCGTTGCTCACGCGAGCGCGATTCATGTGCTCTGTCGATCGCATTAACGCCGCGGGCGATCGGCGAACGGTGCACGATGTGGGAAGTGCGGAGGTACACTTGATTTAAAAAATCTGCGGGCATTCGATGGCAGTAATATAATAATAAAAGGAAAAAGAACGTTTAAAACTTTAAAACATCCGACGATTTTCCCAGCTTCTTATATTCTTTCGGAAATTATGTATGTTATGATACTGAAAGTTTTATATTCTGAGATATTTTAATTTTTCCTTGTATGCATTCTTAAATTCTTGTATTATATTTTTTATTATGTTATATATTATTTTTTTACATATGCGCTAATATAGTAATATAACAATAAATTATTGCAATCTGCTGTTTACATACTTCCAATTTCAACAATTGATAAAAACTAATAACTCCTTCAATTATAGTGATATTTACAAACTTAAAGATAATATCATACTTCTGTAATACGCACATGTTTTTGGATTGAACAAACGTAGTGTAACTTTTGTGAGTAAGTGTAGCTCGAATGAAACGCACATGGTGAATCCAGCTCGAGTTTCGCATGCCGCACGACACGTGCGACGATCGAAACTCTCTCGTGCCAGGAGAGCGAGAGAATGAGAGGGGTATATATTCGTTGACGTACACCAAGAGAGCAAGGAGAGATGGACGCCAGTGCCTGAGGGGTTGCTCGAGTTCCTGCCGGCATTTGTTTAATTGGGAACCGACATGGTCGCCATGGCACCCCTCTCGATCGACCGTTTACTCGTCCACATGAAATCTCTTCAAAATTCACGAGCGGCGCACGAAAGCTACTCGTAGAGAATGCAAAAATTTATCCGTCTATTTCTCGCATATCGCACAGAATTGCAAAGAAATTCAGTGAATGGAAAGAATCGTAAAAATATCGTAAAACACAATTTTATTTTTCTCCTCTTCTAAGGCATTTAAATATAACATGGTCCGCGTAGGTAAATTTTCGAAATTTCAATTTGTGAAGTTTTAGAGAAGTGTACCCTCATGCAATATTACGAGCTTATAGCCCTTTAGTTTACGTGTCGTGCAAGCTGCTATCGTGAAGGCCGACCACCGAGGGTGGGATTGTGAAATTTTCTCTAACCAAACATGGCCGCCAGATCAACCCTCCACAAAGCGACGTCGATGCGAAACTCCCGCTGCCCTGCCGCCGGAGGTCTCGTTGCAAGGAAACGAGGGTTGAATTCGAAATGGTGCTTAGCGTACACGTTACGTACTGGCGCGTATACCATTATCGTGAATTCATTTCTGTTTGATTATACCACTGATACTCGCTATAAAACTAACAATATACGGCGAGAGTAAAGAATTAGTATCTTAATGAGCTTTTTCATTTCAAGACATGATATTTTCTTTATAAATATCGTCAACAATTTTGATATTGAAAAATTACGCTTGATTGAACGCAACATGTTGGGAAGCACGCACAAAGCTGCGACTTTCGAAATTTCCTTCAGAGAATCGCCCGTCTCCATTACGATCTTCTTGAAATTTCAGAATGTAAATACATTTTCCTCGGGTTCGGTCGGCGTGTTAATCCGACAAAATGTAAATACTGTCCGCTGTATGAATATTCAATTAACGGACAATAGCTAGGCAAACTGGTATGTTTGTTTATTCAGGCTACTGAGGATTATCTGCAATTATCGAAGGCGTATTCTAACAATTTTCGTTTCTCGCGATAGGGAAATCTCTTTGATGACGAGATTATATCAGAACAATTTATGTCATGTTTACATATGTATGTCGTGTTCCTTTATGGTGTGTAACTAGTTAATAACGATTATACAAATTTCAACAAGTTATATAAAATGCACATTTTATTATTC